TTGGGCATCTGAGTGTGGTCGGGAGTGAGGGGCACCGGCAGAGCTGGGGAAGGGGAGAGCCCAGGGCTGGGCTAGCAGGGGGCTGCAGGTCGGGAGTGAGGGGCACCGGCAGAGCTGGGGAAGGGGAGAGCCCAGGGCTGGGGTAGCAGGGGCTGCGGGTCAGGAGTGAGGGGCACTGGCAGAGCTGGGGGGAGCCCAGGGTTGGGCTATCAGGGGGCTGCGGGTCAGGAGCGAGGGGCACCGGCAGAGCTGTTGCAGGGGTGAGGTGGGGGAGCCCAGGGCTGGATCAGTACCGTGAGAGGCATGTCAATATCATTTTTCCTATGTTACCTGGGGGGAAACTGAGGCCCAGAATGGGGATGCTGGGAATAGAACCCAGGAGCCTGGACTGCCAGACCTTGGCCTATCGCCGTCCTAGGTCTCGCTGTCTCTCACGCCCCAGCCCTTGGGGGAGCGGGAGGCCATGGCGGACGCCGTGTCTTGGAACAATGCAGAACAGCATCCCTCCCCCCACCCGCCCCCTCCTTCCTCCATGGCACAGTAGAAGCTCTCAGGCCCCGACACTGGAGACAGAGGGAGCTTTGTGTCTCCCCAGTGCCGAGGTCGAGGGAACAAGGCACATGATCAGCCAGCCGAGCCCTACAGCCGCTGCGTCAGCCAGAGCCAGGCAGCGGGCACCGCCTGGCAGAGGGGCTGGGGCAGCCGTAGGGGCCTCCCAACGCCTGCCCCACCTTCATAGTGATGGGCAGCAGCCTCCCGCATTGAGCTGGCAGGGCCCAGGCGGGCAGCACATGCTAGCAACAGGGTCAGCAAAGTCCTCTGACCACCACAGGGGGCGCTTAGTGCAGGGGGACTTGGAGCAGGACTCCTGGGGTCTCTCCCAGCTCTGGGAGGGGAGTGGGGCTTAGTGGGGCAGAGCAGGGGGCTGGGAGCCAGGACTCCTGGGGTCTCTCCCCAGCTCTGGGAGAGGAGTGGGGCGGCTTAGTGGGGCAGAGCAGGGGGCTTGGAGCAGGACTCCTGGGGTCTCTCCCGGCTCTGGGAGGGGAGTGGGGCGGCTTAGTGGGGCAGAGCAGGGGGCTTGGAGCAGGACTCCTGGGGTCTCTCCCAGCTCTGGGAGGGGAGTGGGGCTTAGTGGGTCAGAGCAGGGGGGCTGGGAGCCAGGACTCCTGGGGTCTATCCCCAGCTCTGGGAGGGGAGTGGGGCTTAGTGGGTCAGAGCAGGGGGCTTGGAGCAGGACTCCTGGGGTCTCTCCCAGCTCTGGGATGGGAGTGGCGCTTAGTGGTTTGGTCCATGGGACTGGGAACCAGGACTCCCAGCATCCATGCCCAGTTCTAGAAGTCAGATTCTTTCTCGAGTGGCGGGGGCCAGGCTCTGCTACTGAGTTGCTGCCTCATCTAGTCCCAGTGCCCCACTCTCCCTGGGCTGGAGAACTGGGGCACAGCAGCCCCCCTGGCAGAGGGGCCAGAGCAGGAGTTACCGCTGGGGAAGCCAGTCGCTACCCTTGGAAAGAAGCTGCTAAGACCAGGGGAGCCAATTATCTTTTTTCAAGGTCCAAATTTCTCGGTCAAGGTCCAGACTCCAGAGAAAATAAAACAAAAATAACAGTAATGATGATAAGTAAATGAAAAGACGGTGGGGTGTGTTCACAAGTGCCTGGTGCTCCGGATTTGGCCTGCGGGCTGCCTGCTGCCTGCCCCAGTGCTAAGGAACTACAAAGAACCTCTGATACCATCTTCCTTTCCTTCAGCTCCTTTCATGGGGGAGCCCCAAGTACACCTGGTAAGCGCCTCACCCAGGAGAGCAACACTTCACAGGGTTCAGCTGGCCAACACTGAAATGCAGCTGTCTCTGGGGTGGAGCATGGTAGTTGTATACCAGGGCACAGTAACAATGAACAAGGATCAGTTACCTAAGAGGGAAATGCAGCTGTCTCTGGGGTGGAGCATGGTAGTTGTATACCAGGGCACAGTAACAATGAACAAGGATCAGTTACCTAAGAGGGAAATGCAGCTGTCTCTGGGGTGGAGCATGGTAGTTGTATACCAGGGCACAGTGACAATGAACAAGTATCAGTTACCCAGGAGGGAAATGCAGCTGTCTCTGGGGTGGAGCATGGTAGTTGTATACCAGGGCACAGTGACAATGAACAGGGATCAGTTACCCAGCAGGGAAATGCAGCTGTCTCTGGGGTGGAGCACTCCGCCTGTTTAACAGCAGGCAGCAGTGTGATGCACATTATGGTAGAAAGGAAGAAGCCTGTATCCAGTGGAAACAATGGGAATTGAGGTTGGTTACTTACGGTCACATGATGGGAAAGGACTCACTGTCTCCAAGACTCACTTCTCTGGAGGGAATTGACCCAGGAGGTACGAGCCAGCCCAAAGGCTCGGTCCCCCTCTCTACATCCAATTGTAGGGCTAGTGCCTAGTCCTGTTTACATGGGTGTAAATCCGGATCGGCTCCAATGGAGATACTGTGGATTTACAATGGGACAGCCGAGGTCAGGATCTGGCCTTTATCTTTTCAGGGGCTGGGAAGGAAAGTCCCAAAGTGTTGGAGGAAAGGGGCAGTTGGGAGACTGGAAGGCCCCAGTCTGAACCTGTGGGGGCTCATGGGCCAAATTCATACCAGGTGCAACTCAATTGGCCCCAGTGGAGTTACACCAGGGAGAAGTTTGGCCCCGCCTGTGTGTGGGGGTGTGTGTGGACGACTGCTCCTTCCTCTGCATCAGGTTGTTTGGCCCGTGATCCAGTTGCGAAGTCTCCGGGACTCTCCCAGGTGCCGTCTCTGCCTCCCCGAGTTACGGGCTCCACCGACAGTCGCTTGGGAGTTGCACTCGGAATCGGGGGGCTGGAACAATGTGTATGGGGGCGGGGGGGGGCTGAGAACCACTGAACC